TGCGCCTTTAAACTCTGTACGGTAACCAACATTGCTTTTTTTCTTGACTCTACAACATTCTCTGTGATGAGGCATGTCTTGATTTAAGTCTTGTTCTTAAATCAAAAGTAGTCGAAAAATCGTAAAAAAAAAAAAATGCTGAATTTGGTTGCAATAGAACTCTTCAGCTTGGGGTAATGTTTTCCCATTTCAGACTATGTGTTATTCCCTTGAGAATAAGATTCTTTGTTTGAGTTGTGTCCATATTCATGTGTCTTCTCATGTGCAACCAAGCGCAAACCTTAAACGAAGAAATGATACTCTAGGGAATGACATGTGGTCGGAAATGGGAAAACATTACGTCGAAGAGGCCGAAGCCGAAGAGGTCTATTACACATTGAGAGATGCCGCGAACTTTTAAAAGCGTGGCGCGTATGACGTCACTTTCGAATCACAGAAAAACTTGTTTAAGTGATGTTCACTCACAGATTCAACAGTGATGTGGTTTTATTAAACCATTCCTTTTCAATGCGTGGAATTCTATTGCTTCCAAGATATCTGGTAAAGGATACACGAAAGAAACAGCTTTTTCACAAACGTTAAGGCCGGATAAGGTCCTTTTGGCATGTTGCATTCAAAACTAGTAATGTACTATATTCATATGTAAATATAATTACAATTAATATTAATAAATATTAATATTACTATTGCTTTAATTTCTGTTGACACTCAATTGCGAAATCATTGTCGGGCCAAAAACATAGAACATAGAAGCTGAGACCAAAATGGTACGTGGGAAGTACGTCACTGTCCTACTCGAACCGTTTATTTTATTTTTTATTTGTTAGAGTATACTTTTATTTTTTTTTATTTTTTTATCTCTCTTTCATCATTTCATCTCCTTGGATAGCTTTCATAGACTTTCATTGGGTCTAATATTAGTGACATGGTTCCATGTTGCATTACATATAACACTTACAAATTTTCAAGGTCGATGAGCTCATCGAATACTCCTTCCTTGATATGTTGTATTTCATTCCTTGACAGGTCTCTAAATAAAGTGTTATGCGAATATTTGGAAAGTTACGGTTTCGCACACAAAAATTCAATTCAAGTTTAACTTAGTCGAGGGTTATGTCAATGTGTCTCTAAAAAGGTAACGGATCTCTAGGGGAATCTATATATAACTTCGTAATTCCATGAAACCCCTCTTTGTGAGATCTTAAGGGGAGCCAATCATGTTCTTTACGTTCCGTAGGACGAAATTGGAATCCCCCTTTGTGAAACCGATTGCAATTTTTTTCTGAGAAGCGGCCATTATGGACTGAACCCCCTTTGCGTCTAGGAATTCTCTCTCCCTTCTGGGGTTTTCGTTGCGATCGTTTTCTTTTTTCTTTTTCTTTTTTCTTTCTTTCTTTGGTAATCATAATATGAGTATCGTGCAGGCACRTGAAAGGGGGGTACCTTGGAAAAGAGGTTAGATTTACTATTTTGAAGCAAAAGATAAATACACTTACAGCTGTTTAAGCTTATCCATTGCGTGAAAAGTTCCATTTTCAAGCATTTCAATGCTATTTCTCGAAACGTTTCTAGAAAAAAATTATAAATAGGCCCTTTGTAGGTCATTAATCACGTGCTGATTAAATCACTGAGAGCAAATGAATGAACATCTTGATTCCCATGGGTGAAATATACTGTTGAGCAAACAAAATTTCTACAACCTGATTCGAGAGATCGTAACAAAACTGCATTTCGTGACACACTGGCTACACATCGTTTCATTTAGTTCTTTACAAGTAGCAAAAAAGAATCACCAATCTAAAATTTAAAAAAAAAAAAAAATGCTCACCAGTACAAACACGTAACCGCTAACTGCAAAGGGCCTATAAATTCTCGACCCTCAAGCGCAACTTCTCCATTTTGTCGGGGAGGAATCAGGAATAAAACAAAGGTATTTTATGACCGGTTTACCACAGGTAACCCGTTAGCAAAGTCCAATTTTCTTTGCCATCCAGTAACGTAACAGTCATGTGATTATTTGACCTGTATAACTATCTCTAACACGCCATTCAAAATACGTAGGCTACAATGCCTGATGGGAAGGAAGAGTGGAATACCACTGAATATACAAAGGCTTTTCTGCGTTCTGATTGGCTATATTTTCGATGATGTGTTTATGAAGCAGTGACTATGGAAAACAACATTGTATGATGGACTTACATGATTTTAACTTTACCAGTATTGTTAAAAACTCCCTTCCGGATATATGTTATATTGTTATTTTGCAGAAATCTTAAATGGAATGAAAAGTAGTCAGTCGATTTTGGTGATACAGAAGATAAATTAGTAGCCTCGTAAGCAGACGTTCTTCTGGACTGGTCATTATTTGTCGCGGGAGGAGAAGATTTTTTGCCACACCAAGTAAAATGTTGTGTTAAAAAACATCTTACAAAATAGAGAGTTTTAGATTGACTTTTTTCTCTCCYCGCAAACGTCAAACGTGACCACGTTTTCATAGTTTTCCTGTATTTTACTTTACTATTTACAAACCTTCTCACCAAGCGCAAATACTCTTTTGTTTTTCTACCACTTAGACTTTTTTTGCGATTCTTTTTCAGTAATTTAAAATAACTTTTTAACTGGTCAACTGACGTTTCCGTTTACCGTGAACGTAAATCTAAAACTCTCTAATATGTGTCACGCAGCAGCAAACGTTCCGTTGTTGATAAATATGTTATTGTTTTGTTATGCGTACTTACATTTTTGTCAATGTTTGCATTTCATCAAACGT